AGCAGCAGAGAAGCTGCGGCTACAGGCCGATGCAGACGCAGATGCCCAGGCTCGCCGCAAGGAAGCCCAGGATCTGCTGCAGCGGCATGAAGCCAACAGCATCGACAGACTCAAGTACTGGCATTTTAAACTGAACGGCGACGAGGCAACACCGGAAGAGAAGCACAAGGAGTTTCTCTCCAAACTCGTGACGCGGTTGTTGTATGCTTGCAACTACCAACGGTCAGAGTTGGAGAGACAGTACTGGGACCTGACGGAACAGCATCAGGAGTTGGCGACGCTCCGCCGCACAGTGCAGAGCCACGAGGATGCAACTCGGGCACTCAATGCCCGATTGTTGGACCTGGAACGGGCTGTACCAGGACCAGCTGCTGGAGCTTCCAGCAGTGCACCTTTAAGCCGCCAACTGGAGGACCGCGTTGACCACGTAGTGGCAATGCTCGGCGACATCAGCACCTTCGCTGCGCCGACCACCACCATCAGCAGTCAGCTGCATACATTGAAGACCGAGGTCCAGAAGCTACAGTCGACGAACGCGGACGACAATCCGAAGATGTACAAGATGCCAACTTTCAACCTGGAGAGGTTCGACGACTACACGCATCAGGATCCCGTCCTCTGGTGGGAAGCATTCACAACGCAACTCAGGATTCTGCCACTAGCCAAGCATGCGTACATCGGCGCCCTGTTCCTGAACTCAAAGGGCGGATGCCAGACCTAGTTGAGCCACCTGGCAACCTCCCACGGCGTCGACGTACCAGACTTGAATGACGTAATCACATGGGAGGAACTGACACGATTGTGGAAGAAGCGGTTCATCGTCGATGACGCGGCGACACTCGCCATCAACCGTTTGTTCACCATGTCACAGGGCAGCACAGCAACACGGGACTGGCTCACGGAGTGACAGAAGATTGCGGCTGTGCCCAATCTGAACCTACCATTCGAGCATCTACGCCGTGAGTTCTACAACAGGTCCTGTGCGGCATTGAGCCAGGCTCTTGGTGATCGCGAGCAGTACGCCACCTTTGTCGGGATTATCGACAAGGCGCGAGAGATCATCAAGACCAACAGGTCAGCGGCACACGAGAAATCAACATCATGGCAGCCGACCTATGTGGAGAAGGTACGAACTAGTCCGCGATAGTAGCACTTCGCTGCAGTCCAGCAGGACAGTGGGGATAACCCAGCAGCCACTCCAGCATCGAGTGACGGAGATCAGGTGGCTGTTGTCCAGCCGCGAAGCACCAACAAGTCCCGCAACAATGGGAAGGCGAAATCCGCATCGCATGCCGGAAATGGACAGCCAGGACAGTTTCCATGGGTCAAGTTTGGCTTGACCGAGGCGGAGTATAAGGTCCACGGCCGCTACGGCAGCTGCTATTGGTGCAACATCACCAAGCACAAGACCTCCCTGTGCCAGGATCAGGGCAAGGAGGATGTGCGACCCCGCCTCAGCTCGGTAAACTGAGCTTCGCGGAAGGTGAGGCGACTCCACCTTCCACTCCGCTAGACTCGGCCGCCTTGCTAGCGGCCTCCTGCACATCTGGAGAGGATGCGAATGTCGCAAGTCCTCGGTATACTTACGAGGATTATGCTGTCCACTTGGTTCCACCGCTGGATCAACCGCTCCACGTGCAACAGTCCACCGCATGCACGGTTTCATCACCATCAACAACCGATTCGGCAGCTTCGCTGCAATCTATCGCCGGGGATTCGACGTCATGGTCAAGACTTGATGAGCTCGATCCATTGACGTTCACGGACTTCCAATGGATGCCCGTTCCCTCGACCGGACGATTGCCGAAACCGCATTGCAACGTGCTTATGGCACAATTGCGGAACTACTTGCACACTGCAGTACCAGCTCCGTTGATGGACGCCGGAGCAGAAGTTGTGGACCTTCACGCTTTCATCGCGAAGATCGACCGCAAGTTCAAGACGCAACGGTACGACGACATCGACGCACCATTGCTCTACATACGCATTCAGATCGGAGAGGCGACCTGTAGTGCCTTGATCAATTGCGGAGCGTCTCGCAACTACATCAGCCAGGACTTCATGGTACGCGCCGGCCTTGGCCCACGTGTCCGGAGGAGGTCCCAGCCTACGCAAGTCACTCTGGCAGACGGTCATACGCACAAGTCCATCGACCGGTGCATTGACGCCGTCCCAGTGTACTTTGTCCCCCACGCAAGTGAGGTGGTGTCCTTTGACATTCTGGACACCAAATTCGACATGATCTTGGGCATGTCATGGCTGCGAAGCAAGAATCACCCGGTGAACTTCTTCAACTGCACCGTTCACGTTCGTGACCGGAACGGAGTATTAGTTCGATGCACGGTGCCTCTTCCTCATCCTTCGATCAGCTGCCACGTGGTATTCGTCGCAAGCATGCGAGCTTCCATCATCAGAGACGACATCGAGGAGATGGGGGGGTGTTTTCTCCACGCCCTCCCACCACATAACGCTTCATCGACGGACTCACCTTCGGATCCACGCGTCACCGGACTTCTCGACGCCTACAACGACGTGTTCGAAGGCCCGCACGGAGTAGTACCGGATCGACCCATCCGCCACGAGATCATCCTCGAGGACGGGGCCGTACCTCCGCGCGGTTGCATCTACCGAATGAGCGAGGAAGAGTTAAGTGTGCTTCGGGCACAACTCGATGACCTTCTAGAGAAAGGCTGCATTCGGCCTAGCTCATCGCCATACGTTGCTCCTGTTCTCTTCGTCCAGAAGAAGAACAAGGACCTGCGGTTGTGCATCGATTATCGCAAGCTAAACGCGCAGACGATCAGGAATGTCGGCCCTCTCCCACGCATCGACGACCTTCTCGAGCGATTGGGCGGCGCCCAGTTCTTCTCTAAGTTGGATCTCAAGTCAGGGTACCACCAACTCGAGATTCGCAAGGAGGATCGCTACAAGACCGCGTTCAAGACTCGGTATGGGCATTTCGAATGGCTGGTCATGCCATTTGGCCTTACGAATGCCCCAACCACCTTCCAAGCGGCTATGACGACGGAGTTCCGACACATGCTGGATCGTTTCGTACTTAT